CTCGCCCTCTCCTTTCCCAGCTGGTCTCGTGCTGCCTTCTCCACTGTGAGTGATAAGGGTGGTGCGGTATTCCAGACTCGTACTTGGTGGTCTGTACACATAGTCCCCAGTTACAAGCACCTTGGGCCAGCCCTTGCCTGGCACCCCTGTGCTTCATCCTGCCCAACCTGGGTGGGATGTTAGAGGCCTCCAGGAGCCAGCTAGGTGCAGAAATAGGCTACGGATAACAGAGGAAGGATCCAGTGTGTCTCGGGGGGAATAACATCAGCCACACCCTCTCTGCCTTCCACTGCTACCCCTCAGCCTGACCAGCCCTTCTTCCTGTCCAGGTCCCTGGTCTTCTGGTCTCCACTAGTCTGTGGAATGCCTGAGCCCCAGATGAGAGATGGACCTTCCTCGGTTGGTCTCCCCAAGGTGGACTGACTTCCACTTACAGAATACCTCATAATGTTTTGCACGGAACTCCCACATGACCAGGCCCACCGCTCCACCAGCCCTGCTGGATGCTGCCAGTGGCCTGAGCTGGAGAGGAATCCAGGAGAGTTCTAGATTTCTGGGTGGGCGAAAGGGGACGGAGCAGGTGGTTGGGACAGGTCGGGTGTGCTGCCTATGGGACATCCCAGTGGAATGAGTGGTCCAGTGGGCACTTGGATAATGTTGAAATGCCCACATTCCCTTATTATGAGCATTATGAGATTAGGTTCTGAGATGCCTGCTTACTTAGGAAAGAAATCAGCCAGAGGGCAGGTCAAGTGTTATGATTGGTAGTCATCAGGCAGTGACAGCCATGATCTTATCTTTTTTTTTTATCCTCACCCGAGGACATTTTTCTATTTTTTGTACAGATAGAGTGGGAGGGAGAGAGAGGAAGGGAGAGAGAGAGAAACATCGACGCAAAGGGACACATCGAGTGGCTGCCACCTGCACGACCAACCAGGGCCGGGGACAAACTGCAACCGAGGTACGTGCCCTTAGCGGGAACCGAACCTGGGTCTCTCCGGACCGCAGGCCGACGCTCTAACTACTGAGCCAAACTGGCCAGGGCATGATCTTATCTTTTTTTCTCAACTTGTCACCTGTTATTAGTCCATACAAACTGACTAGAGAGTAGTTAGCTCTGAGGAGGTGCTTGTGGAATGGAATGAATGAGGTGTGGGGGCTTCAACAGTAATGACAATGGTGAGTTCACAGGTGTTCATGGAATTATTCTTTATACTTTACATGTACATTATAAATATTATTAAATCTACTCAAGAGTTGTAAAGCCAGTTAGAATTAATTATAAAATTGTACTATGCCTTAATATTAGCTAAGATTGTCTAGAGCTTTACTATTAAGAAAGCAATTTATTATTTTTTAAATTAAATTTATTAACTTAAGCCCTTGGCTATATCCCACTCACCTCAAATGTCCCCTTTTGGCTTTTGTGTTCTGTTGAACGTTTCATTTGTTCTCATTTTTCAACTCAAAGAGGCTCCCTTTCCAGAATCACCCCAGGACTGTTGGTGTAAACTCCCCCAGCCCCCTCAGGGACGGCTCGCTGATCATTCTGCTTCTTTCCTAGGTGTTTGATCAGAAAAAGAAAAATAGCTGCATGTTTTCATTTTCTTTGCCAAACCGTTGTCATGTGTTACCCTTTGATCCTTTAGCAAATGTCATCTGCTTGGAGCAAGAGGAAAGCCATGCCATTCATTGTGTCCCCAGTGACCTAAGTCAGCCACCACCCCTCCAGTTGCTACCCCGGGCTGCCTTTAGGATTGGCTTAAATGCCACAGGTCCTTCGTGTCACAGGGCAGTTGTGTGGCTCTTGTCTCCCATTTTCCTTGATATCGCAATGACCATTTGTCTTTAAAAATTGCACATTTTTCTGTGGATTCTGTCAAAAGATGAAATGTGAGTCGTAAACCAATGCCTGTTAAAAAGAGGAAAGGTATATCTTAAACTAATTCCTATCAGATTCGTTTTAAGGTCTTTATGCAAGAAGTGTCATCTTTGCGCCATTGTGGCCCCCTGTGTCTGTGCCAAGCCCCCAACCCCCAGCATCCTCCAGCTGAGCTGCTGGCAGGACAGACTGTGCAGGTTCCCCTTGTCTCACACCTCCCTGTAGGCACGGGGAGCTGTGGAAGGTGATGACAGAAGCAGGCAATTCCAAAACACAGTGCTGGGTTGTCATTTCCTTGGCAGGGCTAACACTGCGTGCCTTCTAGGAGTGTGGGGTGTGTGCATTTCATGAACGAGAAGCAGCAGCTGCCATAACCTTGACTCCCTTCGGCAGGATGCCCCCTATGTCATTCTGCATTGAAACTGCTCAAGAGCAGTAGAAAAGGCAGGAGGGTGGGTGCTGTGGGACATTTTCTGTTTTCCAGCAAGACAGTTATTGCACAGCAGGTAGTAATAACTGTTACTGTTTTCAATGTGAAGAGACTTTCTCATGAAAGACTGCACTCCTAGGTTTCAGTGTGATCCCCAACCCCCACCCAGAAGTCCCTGCTTCCCCAGCTTGCACCTCACCTACCCTGTCACTGGTTCAGGAACATAAGGCACCCACGCCACAGAATCAGGAAATTGGGGAATACAAGATGCGTACAGTTGGATCAAGCTTGGCATATCAAATGTATCCACCATATTGCTATGGAAGGCGTCATTTATTCCCGAATAAATTATAAAAATTTTAGCATCCCTGTATTTGCAGCATAACACCACCCTATTTAGTCCTAGATCGGCTCCCTTCCATTTAAAATCACTGTCTGTAAAATCCAACAGACTGAAGGCTAGACTTGATGAAGCTAGGCAGCTCTAGAATTCCATATCTCGGATTTGTTTTTTTTCTAATAGCATTTAGCTAGCTGGCATATTTTCCATTTCTGCCTGGGAAGACAGACATGGGGTTTGAATTCTTTCATCTGCATAGACAAAATAGCTGGATGATCAAAAATCTTGGTTAAACAAATAGGAATGTGCAATATAGCCAGGGGTCTTTGAAGGAGGCGACTTTATTTTAGGCCCCAGTTGTTACTTCATAATGACTTGATTATACTGTTCATTTAAGTCTAATGTGGTATCTTAGTCAGCTTGAGCTGCTATAATAATACCGTAGACCGTGTGGCGTAAACAACAGAAACTCTCTCCTCACAGCTCTGCAGCCTGGGCAGTCTAAGATCAAGGTTGAGTTCCTGGTGAGAACTTGCTTGCAGTCATCCTCTCTTGGCATCCTCCTACGGCGGAGAGAAAGAGAGAGACCTCATGTCTCCTACAAAGGCACTAATCCCACTTACGAGGGCTCTACCTTCACGACCTAAGTACCTCCCAAAGATCCCATCTCCAAATACCATCACCCAGGGATTAGAGTTTCAACATATATGTGAGGGGGACATAAACATTCAGTCCATAGCATGAAGTTAGCCAGTGGGCCAGATATTGGCTCACTGACTCACATTTTGGAATAAAATGGGTGATTTGAAGCATCATAAATTAGTAAAACTGACACTGACCCTCTCTAGACCATGACCACTGACTAGAATGTTGTCTGAACATGCTGTCCCGACCAGAGCAGAGGGAAAGACCGTGGTAACCAGTGGCTCATGCAGTGCTTAAGAGCATGTATTTTCACAGTTGTGCTCAAGTTCTTTCCCTTTGGGGGACTCGCCTGAGAGGTCCAAGTATCTCCCCACCCACCTCACTGTTATGTTCACACACTTGGACATAGACAGACAGCAGGCACACTGTGGAAAAAGATGCCAGTAACATCTTTCCTTTGTGTAGTTTAGCAAAGACCAGCAGAGGAAGCTGTAGGAATGAAGTGCTAATGAGGTTACTGGGGGAGGTGAGAAGCATAATGAATGTCAGCCGTCAACAGCAAGGGGGCTTAAACAACATACATTTATTTTCTCACAGTTCTGAAGGCTGGAAATCTGAATCGGGGTGCCAGTATGGTCCATTTCTAGTGAGGACTCTTCCCCTGGCTGGTAGATGGCCCTCTTGTCCTCTCTCTGTGTCCTCACGTAGCTTTCTGTGCTTCTGTGCATGCGCATGGTGCACTGGGGACACACACACACACACTGGTGTCTCTCTTCTTATGAGGACACTAATCCTGTTGATCAGGGCTCCACCCTTATGACTTCATTAACCTTAAAAACTTCTTTAGAGGCTCCAGCACCAAATACAGCCACACTGGCAGTTTGGGAGGACACAGACATCGAGTCCATAATAGCTCTAAAGACAAGGGTATGGCTCTCAACCCCTACTCTGTTACAAACTAGTTGTGTGACTTTGAGGAAGTTCTGTAGCTTTTAAAAATATGGATTCTGGGGATCCAATCTAAACCAAATAAATCTGAATCTCTGGGGGTGGGACTTGATCATATGCACTTTTCAAAAGCTCCTTAGACGAGCTTATTAATGTGCAACCAGCTGAGGTAGTGGACTTTTTGAGGCAAATACAGGAGGGTGAATTAAAGCAGAATCCATCTGAAGAATGATGTGAATTAAACAGCTGTGAGGCCTGGAGAATTTGGCTCTCTGAGACACGCCTCCGGAGCCTCTGGTATCTTCAGGACCATGTGGTGTAGTGGGGAACATTGGTCATACAAGACATCTGGGTTCCGCTCAGCTACTTAGTAGCCATAAATTCCTTCCTTAGCAGTTTCGGCCTTCTCTTCTGTGAAACGCCAGTCCTCAGATTTCCTCTGGAATAAAATGAGATAGTAGATATGAAAAGGCTTTAGAACCCACACACATTTCAGGAAGTTAAACATTGATGTTTCTTTGGACCCCAACTTCACCCTGACTGCCACTGGGTCGTGATTCCCAAGAAGTCCCACTGTGAGGTCAGTGACCCCGGCTGGCTGTAGGACCAGTGTCCTCAGGCTATGGAGAAACTTCCTCCTCATCCCTACTCACTTAACTCTGCCCATACAGTTTGGACTCTGGTGGGAAGGAGTGGGAGCTTGGTGACAGTGGGACTTGGACCTTGACTAATGTCCCCCCTCTCGTCTTTCATAGGAACATGCTTGCCAATTCAGCCAGCGTGCGGATTCTCATCAAGGGGGGCAAGGTGGTGAACGATGACTGCACCCATGAGGCTGATGTCTACATTGAGAACGGCATCATCCAGCAGGTGGGCCGCGAGCTCATGATCCCCGGAGGCGCCAAGGTGATCGATGCCACCGGGAAACTGGTGATCCCTGGAGGCATCGACACCAGCACCCACTTCCACCAGACCTTCATGAACGCCACGTGCGTGGACGACTTCTACCATGGGACCAAGGTAATGTTTCTTTGCCAAAGGTGCCTTCTACTCTGGCTCCTTCTGTTTCTGGGGCTGCTCCAGGCTAGACCCACGTGAGCAAGGTGCTCCCACTGTATTGCTAAAAGGAGAAGGATGCTCTCAAGGGGACCACTGTGGCAACTAAAATTGGAAATTCCAGGCTAGATGTCACAGATTTCCATGGTTACAGAAAAGGGTGTATTTAGGTCTATTTTGCTGATCACATCGTTTATCTCTGCACACTGGGAACTGCCTTTATTTTTACCTTTTCATGTCACATAATACAGACCTAGAGGAAGAAGGGAATCAGCCGGTGTTTGTTATTGTGCATGTATGTGGTGGGGGTGGGGGTTGATCTCATGGACTCCTTTATGAAAAGCTAAATTAATTCCCTGAAGTTTATGAAAAATAGGTATGCTTCTTTTAGGTGATTTTAGTGGCAGAAATTATGAAGCAGACATAGCTAGCTATCTTCTATTATCTCTCTTAGCTTTTTCAGTATTTTTTAAAGAGGCTTGAAAAATACTGGTAGTTAGTCTCTTTCAGAGGAAATTATCTTGGACAATATTTAAGTTATTAAGCTAAGCCTCAGTTACTTAATGTTCCTGAATACGAAAATTCAGACCTGTGAAACAAATGAATTAGGAGGAAATTACATTTTGTAAAAGGAGCTGCAAGTGGGTTCTTGTACCTTTCCACTGTGCTCCAGAACCTCTGTCATCGTAATTACCTGTCACATACCAGCCTGCCCCTGGACACCAGACGATGGGCTTCTTAAAGGCATATTCTTCTGCTTTCCCAGTGTCTGCAATGACCTGGAACTAGAGTAGGTTCCCAGTGTGTGCTGAGTGAATGGGGGAATGATGCTTACCCACGTGGGCCTCTACATTGGCTGCGCACCAGAGTCACCTGTGAAGATTTTTAAAATACAGAATTGAATCATAATTTCAAAGGCCACAAGCCCCTGAACTTGGCAGCAGATTATGTCCTATCTGATCTACAAAGGACTTGGCCTGTAATACTTCCTGGGTGAGAAAGATCCACCAGCCCCTCGTCCTATAGCTGCAGTCCTATGTCCTATTTTGGCCCATAACCTCAAATCCCCAATGGCCCTGCACCCTCAAATCCCACCTCTGTTCTGTCTGGAGTTATCAGGAGCCCTCTCCCATGCTTAGGGCTCTCCCCCTGGATCCATCTTCCTGGGGGTTCAAGTGCTCCTACTGTTAGGCAGCCACTGACAAGGCCCACAAAGCCGGCCCTGAAGAGCCAGGCTGGGGTCACAGCTCTGTGGACTAGCCCACCTTAGGCAGGTGGCCCTTAAAGTCTCCCTGAGGATATGCCCCCTTCCCAGTCCAGGAGCAGCAGACCTAGAAGGCTGTCCTGGGGCAAGGATGCTCCCAAGCCTAATACTTGGGCATCTGGGGCCCCATCTGCCCACTCTAGCTGAGCCCAGAGAAGAGAGGTGATAGGTAGACCCTCCCTATTTTCTCTAAGAACCCCCCTGGGCCCTGCAGGCAGTGCTTCACTGGTGAAATGGGGAGCCCCCCCTCATAAACTCGTAGGGTCTCCTTGCAGTCAGGCCCCTTCAGAAGTGAGTGAGCATATCCGGGTCACCATCCCAGGCACTTGGGCCAGGCCACTGGGCCTGTGTCGTTTGTGTTTGTTGTTGTTACTTGCATTGATGTATAGCCTACGTATCGAGAAGTGCACATATACTAAGTATGCAGAATTGTCACAACTGAGCACACCTTTGTGACCAGCACCCAAATTGAGAAAGCAGACATTGCCAGCACCAGAAGCCCCTCCTTGCGCCCCCTCCTAGTCACAATTACTCACCAAAGAAAACCACTAGCCTGACTTCTATTATCATAGTTTTTGTTTGTTTGCTTGTTTTATTGTTAATCCTCACCTGAGGAAATTTTTCCATTGATTTTTTTTTTTTTTTTAGATACAGTAGAATGGAGGGAGGAAGAGAGAGAGAAAAAAAAACATTGATATGAGAGAGACACACATTGGTTGCCTCTAGCACAGCCCCAGTGGATCGAACCTGTAAATCAGGTACATGACCTTGACCGGGAATCGAACCCACGGCCCTTTGGTCCACAAGCCGATGCTCTAACTGCTGAGCCAAACCAGCCAGGACATAGTTTTGTTTTTGTTTTTTTTTTAAAGAAACAGTTTAATTGAAATGTAATTCACACACCATATAATTCACTATTTAAAGTGTAGAAGTCAATAATTTTTAGTGTATTTGCCATAAATTGGTTTTGACTATTTATCTAAATGAAATCAGGCATTATGTACCCTTGTGTTGGCTTCTTTTGCTCAACATTATTTTTGTGAAAATCACTCATGTTATTGTGTATCATTTATTTTCATTACTTTATGGTATTCCACAGTGTGATATAGCACATACAGCACTTACCCATTCTGCTATCAGTGGGCATCTGGGTAGTTGCTAATCTGAAGCAAGTACAAACACCGTTGCTATGAGCATTCTTATATGTGTCTTTTGGCAGACATATATGCACACATTTCTGTTGGGCATATTCCTAGCAGTGGAATCCCTGGGTCATGGGGTAACATACGTTCAGCTTAAGAGATACTGCCAAATCGTTTTCCAAACTGGTTGTCACAGTGTCATTCCCAGCAGTCATTAAGAGAGGTCACAGTAGTTACCATCAATTTAATGCTGATAACCATATCAGTCCATGTTGGGGTCCATTCTGTGTGTATGCTCAGGTCTTGCAACAAAAATTGTAGCTTTCTGGTTACTTTCCCTACTTTGGAGACCTTTAGTCCAGGGCGGGATGCCACACTGTCACTACTCTGTCTACCAGTCTCTCGGAAGGCAGGCTGGCCTTCTTTGTCTTGTTTTCCACACTGTCATCTGTCAGGGCCTCATTAGCCAGGAGTGACAGCTTTTCCCCTGAGAGCCTTTAGCTCTTTACAGCCAATGAAGACCTCTGCCCATGCCTCTCGGTGCAAGGTGGTGGGTAACTCTTGATCTTTTCCAGGCCTCTCATCCACGGGAGCAGCTGCCTCTGGAAAACACATAAAAGCCCCTGTGTGATTGAAGGCCCCAGCTCTCCCGGTTCCTGTAGGCTTAGGCTACCTCAGGCACCCCCATCCATGCCACGCCCTAGTTGTGGGGAATTTAAGGGCCCATAGACCCCACGCACCCTTAGCTATTGGTGTCACCTAAACAGACCCTTTGATTATATCCATCTACTAAGCAAGATTGCACCTTGTCCTTGTCCCCCAGCTAGTATCGTGCTCTGTTTCATAATACAGCTACGACCCAGTCCTCCCTGAACCCTGCCCCAGAGTCCTGCCTGTGGTCTCCCATCCTCCCAAGAACTGGCTTCCTGCCCCGGTACCCCCTCCCTTCCAGGATTTCCCCTCCACATTGGTGCTCCTATCATTGGATATTTTTGGCTTCCTCTTTCCTCTAGTTCCTGACAATCTCCTGGGGAGAGAAAATGCTCTCCTGTTGCAATGCTGCTCCCAGGACGTGTGGATTTAATTATTCACACGGCTGTGGCTCTCGCACAGAGTCTGCACCCTGATAGGTTGCCACTGACCTACTTAGTACCTTCTAAGAAAGGTAGCAGTGGATTCACTTTAAGCATCTGGGTTTATAGTGGAATAATAATCCCAAAGATAAGCTCACCTGAGTGATTAGCCTAGAGAAAAAGAGAAATCAAGTTGCATCTTTTTGTTCTTGTCCGACAGATCCGTGGAGCCTTGAACTCTGCACCCCCTAAGCTCTTGTGGTCTTGTCTATTTGGCAACAGCAGCCAGGGCTGGGAACACAAGACCGTTGAAAGCCTGGGTTTTCTGAAAGCATCTGGCTCTCCATTGTACGGGGTCTAAAGGGATCTCTCTAGCACTCCTTTAACAAACGCTTCGCCTGCCTTTGCCTCTGTCGCCGGCTGTGGCAGGCTCCGCCTGGCTCCCCTGGCTCTGTGTCTCTTGCTCCCAGCTGATCATTTGATCCTTCTCCCCACACCCCATGCACTCTCAACCTTTAGTCCCCACCCTCCCTAAACCCAGTACCTGGGTTTCCAGAGGTGCCAGGACCACCTGTTTGTTAATATTGCAAACTCCATTGAAGACAGAGGTTATCTCCTGTGGGGAGGCAAGGGAATGAGGGGAGGAGAGAGAACCTGTAGGACCAACTGGTTAATAAAGGTCTAGGATTCCACAGGGGTCATGGGGTCTTTCATTATTATTCTGCTTGACTTATAAGTTATATTTATTTTTTAATGTACATCTAATATTGCCTAATAAAAAATGTTAATGCACCACACCGATGGGTCTCCATGGCCAGGTGGGAATATCAGAATGAGGCTTTTTTTTTTCATCCTCACCGGAGGACATTTTTCCATTTTTTTGTACAGATAGAGTGGGAGGGAGAGAGAGGAAGAGAGAGAGAGAGAGAGAAACATCGACGTGAAAGGGATACATCGAGTGGCTGCCACCCGCACGACCAACCAGGGCCGGGGACAAACTGCAACCGAGGTACGTGCCCTTAGCGGGAACCGAACCCGGGTCTCTCCAGACCGCAGGCCAACGCTCTAACCGCTGAGCCAAACTGGCCAGGGCCAGAATGAGGCTTTTTAAACCATAGGCACAGTCTATGGCCATACCACCCTGAGCGCGCCCGATCTCGTCTAAACTATAGGCACAACCCCTGCACTGAGATGTTGCTAGAGGGGCAGGCATGGACTGTGGAAGAAAGCTTCCTTTTCTGCCTCCTGCTCCTCCAAAAATATATTAATAACCACTGTCTAGGCCAATGGCGTTCAACCCTTGGCAGCCATTACATTAGAACTATTTGGGAGATTTTAGTTTAAATGGTACTAGTGACCAGGCCCCACCCCAGACCAATGAAATCAATGTCTCTAGGTCTGCTCCTCCCCCATCAGTATTTTTTTCAAACATCTTTGATGATTCTAACATGGGCAGGCACATTGTGAAGGAACTTTCTCAGCTAT